GACGACCAGCAGGTGGGGCCCCACCAATATCAACTACCATCTAGATCTACTACTCCAAGACTCAAGTAAGTCGTAACATAACATGGTGTCAGAAGTGCACAGAGATACGGACAGTACAAATCCAAGTGCAAATATTGAAATCGGAATGTAAACTCTAGATCTCTAGATTAGACACAGAATGAGACTCACGTGAAATTTACTACTAGATTAGAAACTAGTCTGTAGGCCTATGACGCTAAATCTAGTCGCCTGAATCTAAACCCATTGAAACTAGTCAACCAAGCCTCAATATGGAAGGGACAAAGTCCAGATTTTATGCTCAAATACAGCCGCCTCAAAAATTAAATATTAGCAAGGAAAATGCTTTGCAATCAAACTGGAGAAAGTTTTCGAGGGCATGGAAGAATTATGAGATTGCTTCAAACATGATCAAAGAGTCAAAACAGTTTAGGTGTGCAGTCTTATTGACAGTTATAGGGGAAGATGCGATGAACAAATTTGATGGATTTAAGTTTAGTTTCAAAGAGGAACAGGATGATATCGATATACAGTACTCAAGAAGTTTGAGGAATTTTGCATGGTAACAACTCATGAGGCATTCGAGTCATACCGCTTTCATGTCCGAGTACAAGAACCTAATGAATCCATTGACGCCTATGTTGCGGAGCTAAGAAAATCGGCCAGAGGGTGCAACTTTGAAGCATTTGAAGATCGCATGATTCGGGACAGAATTTTAGTTGGCTCCAAGACTGACCATGTGAGAGAAAAGTTGTTGGAAGACCCCAAGTTAGATCTCAAGAAGGCAATAGACATAGCAAGAGCCTATGAGGCTAGTCAAGTCAAGGTAAATGAAATGAAAGAATTAGCAGTTGACAGAGTTATGTCAAAAGACAGAAAGAAATTGTTTCCAGAAGAAAAGAAGCAGTTTTCAAGTGATAAGAGGTCACAATATCCAAAGGATAGAAAACAACAGTCTTCAAAAAGGAAATGCACAAGGTGTGGATATGATTCCCATAGAAATAACCAAGATTGTCCAGCATTAAGAGCAGAGTGCAACAAATGCAAAAAGATAGGACATTATGCTTCACAGTGCAGAACAAAAGAAGTGAGACGAGTAGAAGAATCAGACTGTGATGATAATACCACAAGAACCATCCTGGGTTCAATACTCGAAATAAATTCGGTGAATAACTGGCACACAGAGATATTAGTCAACAGTCAGAAAATGACATTTCATATAGACACAGGAGCTGATGTGTCTGTAGTCTCAGACAAAAATTTAGAGACCCAAAAGTGCTAAAACAAACTGACAAGAAACTTTATGGACCAGGAGGGTCAAAACTAGATGTAATCGGTGTATTCACGGCAACCCTGAAAAAGAACAGTTGTGAGTCAGAACAAGACTTATACGTTATCAAGGGACTCAGAAAACCGCTGTTAGGCAGACTTGCCATTGAAGCACTTAAAGTGGTGGAAGTTGTAAAGGGATTGTCAGAAGCTAAGTTTGACCCAAATCTTAAGTATGCTGGTCTTTTCCAAGGCTTAGGAAAAACAAGCAATGAATATACTATTGAGTTGAAAGACAATGCAAAGCCATTTAACCTTACCTGCCCTAGAAGGCTACCTCTTCCACTAAAAGATAAAGTTGAAGAAGAACTAAAATCTCTACAGGAACAAGGAATCATCAGACCTGTTACCAAACCTACTGATTGGTGTGCTCCTATAGTAGCTGTTCTCAAGCCATCTGGAAAAGTCAGTCTATGTTGTGATTACACTAAACTAAATGAAAGTGTTAAAAGAGAGAACTACCCTCTTCCTACTACTGACCAGTTATTGGCACAGTTGAATGGAGCTACAGTTTTCAGCAAGCTGGATTGTAACAAATCATTTCATCAAATTCCACTAGACGAAAGGTCTCAAGAGTTAACTACTTTTATTACGCCTTTTGGGAGATTTTGTTAACAAAGACTGCCCTTTGGGATCAATTCTGGTCCTGAAATATTCCATAGAGAAATGTCAAACATCGTGGCAGGAATACCAGGTGTGATATGTGACATTGATGATGTTCTTTTAGAAGGAAGAAATAAAAAAGAACACGACGAAAGACTGAAGTTATTCTTGGATCGGATGAACAAAGCTGGAATTACACTAAATGAGAAGTGTGAGTTTTCAACAAAGAAAGTGAAATTTCCTGGACATATTGTAAGTGCAAACGGTGTTAGCATTGACCCAGAGAAAGTCGAGGCCATTACCAGGCTTGAGGCACCAGAAAATGTCCCAGAGCTAAGAAGATTTTTGGGAATGGTAAACCATGTCGGCAAATTTGCACCTATGCTGGCAGATGTGACAAAACCTCTAAGAGACCTGCTTAAGAAAGACAGCAAATGGACATGGGGGACAAAACAAGTAAAAGCTTTTGAAGAAGTAAAGGTTCAACTTAGTTCTACACCAGTACTACAACATTACCACCCAAACAAGCCAATAAGAGTGTTTGCAGATGCGTCTTCTTTTGGAACTGGAGGAGTTCTACTGCAAAAAGACCAGGAAGGCTGGAAGCCAGTTTTCTACTCATCTAGATCTCTCACGGATACCGAGACTAGGTATGCACAGATTGAAAAAGAAGCTTTTGGCTATGACATGGTGTTGTGAAAAATTTTCAGAATTTTTGGTGGGTCTCCCTAAGTTTGTAATCGAGACAGACCACAAACCATTACTGTCGCTGATGAAAGCAAAAGACTTGGATCTCCTTACTCCAAGAATACAGAGGTTCAGGATGAGAATGTTGAGATTTACTTACAACATTGAATATGTTGCTGGCAAGGACCTTGTTACGGCAGACTCGTTATCCAGGTCCCCTTTGAAAAACAATAAAGTAGAAAAAGAAACACTTGAAGTCAGTACAATATCTCAGTTGATCCCCATATCAGATGAAAGATTAGAGGAAGTTCGACGTGCACAGCACAGCGACAAGGAATGCCGAGAGGTGATTCAATTCACTCCGGGCCATTGGCCTCAAAGGATGCCTGGAATATTAAAATTCTACTATGCAGAGCGTCATTGTTTGGCGGTGGAGCAAGGGATTCTCTTGCACGGATGCAGGTTAGTCATTCCATCTTCACTGAGGCAAGACATGCTCCAGAGAATCCACCAGGGGCATCAAGGTATAGTCAAGTGTAGGACTTTAGCACGCACCTGTATTTGGTGGCCCGGGGTGTCTTCTAAGGATATTGAAACCCTAGTGAACAACTGCCCTGAGTGTGAAAAACTCAGAGAATTGCCTCCTCAACAGCTAGTACCAACTCCAACCCCGGATCACCCTTGGGAAAAAGTAGGAAGTGACCTGTTTGAATGACAGGGAGAACATTATCTGCTGGTGGTGGATTATTATTCCAGATGGATTGAGATTTCACACCTTACTTCTCTTACTTCCAAGAGTGTTATCAACAGTTTCAAGACTATCTTTGCAAGAATGGGTATTCCCAGGACAGTAGGCCTACTTACTGACAATGGGACGCAATATACTTCAAGGGAGTTTCGTAACTTCGCTTCCTATTATGGATTCAAACATGTTACAAGTAGCCCTCATCATCAGTCGGCTAATGGAGAAGCGGAGAGAGCAGTTCAAACAATTAAAAACATGCTCAAGAAAGAACAGGACCCTTTTAAATTACAGAGCCACACCTTTGGCCCAAGGACAGAGTCCAGCTGAACTGCTGATGAACCGGAAACTAAGAACTAGAGTATCATCCTTGCAGGAAAGACAGAACGATAAAAAATTCTGGAGGAAAGATGTATTTTATTTTTTTTTAAATCAAGGAGAATTTTGATAGAAGGTATAAAGTGAAAAATCTATCAGAGTTAAAACCAGGACAGTTGGTTTGGCTTAAGACTCCGAGGCTGGAGGAAGCAAAAGTAATTCCA